CTCCATCAGTGTTTTTTTTTGTTCTTTGGGGATGGATAGCATTTTTCATCATAAGTCCTTTAGAGTTGTCTTGGATCATTCTATTGCTGAGAATAGCTAAATTATTGACAATTGTTGATTTTACAGTATTGCTGTTATTGTGTACAATGTTCTCCTAATTCTACTCATTTCATTTGCATTAGTTCATGTAAGTCTTTGCAGGTTTTTCTGAGAGGACCTAGTTCATCATTTCTTATAGCACAATAGTGTTCCGTCACAATCATATACCACTTGTTTAGCCAGGTGATGGGCATCCCTCAATTTCCAATTCTTTACCACCAGAAAAGAGCTGCTATAAATATTTTTGCATATATAAGTCCTTTTCCTTATTATTTTTTATCTCTTTTCAGGAACAGGCCTATTAGTGGTATTGCTAGGTCAAAGAGCATGCTCTTTGGGCATAGTTCCAAATTGCTCTACATCATGGTTGAATCAGTTCACAACTCCACCAACAGTGCATTAGTGTCTCAATTTTCCCACATCACCTCCAACGTTTGTCATTTTTCTTTCTGTCCTATTAGCCAACCTAATGGGTATAAAGTAGTACCTTAGAATTGTTTTTATTTGCATTTCTCCAATCAATAGTGATTTAGAGTATTTTTTCATATGGCTATAGATAGCTTTGATTACTTCATCTGAAAACTGTTCATATTTTTTGCTCATTTAGCAATTGAGGAATGACTTATTTTTATAAATTCAATTCATTTCTCTATGTGTTTGGGAGATGAGGCCTTTATCAGAGAAACTAGCTTCAAAAAATTTTTCACAGTTATGATTGTTAACTATGGAGGATTTCCCTAATTATAGGATTTCCCTCCATCCTATTTCCCCCCTGTTTATTTGATTCTCCTTTCGCCTTGTCTCTCCTCAAAAGTGTTTTGCTTCTGACTACCCCTTGCCCCAATCTACCTCCTCTTCTATGAGCACCTCCCTTTTGGCTATACCCTTCTCCTCCTACATTCCAGTAGGGTAAGATAGATATCTATACCCAATTGAGCGTGTATGTTATTCCTTCTTTGAGTCAATTCTGATGAGAGCAAGGTTCAAGCATTCCCCTACACCACTGCATATTCTTGTCCACTGTAAAAATTCCTCTTTTATATGAGATACTTTTCCCTATTCTGTCTCCCCCTTTCCCTCTTTCTCAGTGCATTTCTCTTTCCTACCCCTTAATTTTATTTTTTTAGATATCATCCCATCATGTTCAACTCACACCTGTGCCTTCTTTCTATATATATATACTCCTTCTAAACTGCCCTAATACTGAGAAAATTTTTATGAGTTACATAAATAAATAAATCTCATGTAGGATTGTAAACAGTTTGTCCTTATTAAGTCCTTTAAGATTTCCTTTTCCTGTTTACCTTTTTATGCTTCTCTTGAGTCTTGTATTTTAAAGTCAGATTTTCTATTCAGCTCTGGTCTTTCTGTCAGGAATGCTTGAAAGTCCTTTATTTCATTGAATGTTTGTTTTTTCCCTTGAAGGATTATACTCAGTTTTCCTAGGCAGGTGATTCTTGGTTGTAATCCTAGCTCCTTTGATCTCTGGAATATCATATTCCAAGCCCTCCAATCCTTTAATATGTATGCTGCTAAGTATTCTGTTGCTCTGACTGTGGCTCCATGATACTTGAATTGTTTCTGGCCGCTTGCAACATTTTCTCCTTGAACTGGTAGCTCTGGATTTTGTCTATAATATTCCTGGGACTTTTCATTTTGGGATCTCTTTCAGGAGGTGATTGTTAGATTCTTTGAATTTCTATTTTACTCTTTTGTTCAAAATGTCAGAGCAGTTTTCCTTGGTAATTTCTTGAAAAATGTTGTCTAGGCTCATTTTTAATCATGGCTTTCAGAAAGCCCAATAATTTTTAAATTATCTCTCCTGGATCTATTTTCTAGGTCAGTTGTTTTTCCAATAAGATATTTCACATGATCTCCTATTCTTTTCATTCTTTTGGTTTTGTTTTATTATTTCTTGATGTTTTTTAGAGCCATTAGCTTCCACTTGCTTAATTTTAATTTTTACGGAATTATTTTCTTCAGTGAGCTTTTGCACCTCCTTTTCCTTTTGGCCAATCTTACTTTTTAAGGAGTTCCTTTCTTTGGTGAATTTTTGTGCCTCTTTTTCCATTTGGTCAACTCTGCTTTTTAAGAATCTCTTCTCTTCAGTGAATTTTTGTATACCTTTTTTTTTTCCATTTGGCCAATTCTCTTTTTTCAGTTGTTATTTTCTTCAGTATTTTTTGTGCTTCCTTTACCAAGCTGTTGACTCTTCTTTCATGATTTTCTTGTATCACTCTCATTGCTCTTTCCAAATTTTCCTCTATGTCTCTTACTTGATTTTTAAAATCTTTTTTGAGCTCTTCCATGACCTGAGACCAGTTCACATTTTTCTTTGAGGCTTTAGATGTAGGAGTTTTGACTTTGTTGTCTTCTTCTGAGTGTGTGTTTTGATCTTCCTTGTTACCATAGTAACTTTCTATAGTCAGAATTTTATTCTGTTGTTTTGCTTATCTTCCCGGCCTAATTTTTTTACTTTTAATTCTTTGTTAAAGTGGGGCTCTGCTTCCAAGGTGGAGGGTGCACTGTCCCAAGCTTCTAGGAGTTTGTGCAGCTGTTTTTAGAGACACTTATAGGGATCTGTAAGTTTTCAATTCTTCCAAGGTGGCATGATATGAGGAGATGTGTATTTACTATTCTCCTAGCCTATGCTCTGGTCTATGAGTGACCACAAACACTCTTTTCTGACCTGGAACTGTCATGAGGGTGCCTGCTTCACTGAGGCCAGAAACTCTAGTGGGCTACTGCTCCTCCTCACCCTAGAATTGCCACCCAAGACTGTCACCCAAATCTGAGTATGGGCAAAGAAACAGAGTTCTTCCCCCAATGCCAGCAAAAAAGACCCTTGTAATCTCCTTCTGACCAGTTGTTCTACCCCTTTACTATCTGTGGCCTGAGAGCTCCAGAAGTAGCTGCTGCCACTGCTGATCCAGTCATTCCCAAGGCCTGCTCCTAGTTTGCTGGGGCCCAATCTGTGCTAGTGCAACCTGCACTGCACTGGGTTCCACTCTCATCCAGGTATGACAGACCTTTCCTGCCAACTTTCTAACTTGTCTTGGGCTGAAAAGTTGTTTCACTCTGTTCTTCAATGGGTTCTGCCACGTTAGAATTTGTTTTAGGGCATTATTTAAAGGTGTTCAGAGGAGTTTGGGGAGAGCTCAACACCTATTTTTCTGACTAGCTATGTGAAGGCAGCAGGGTACAGTAGAAAAACACTGGCTTTAGAGACCGAAGTACTGGGCCCAAATGACATCTCTGACACTGGCTACCTGTGTGACCTTGGGCATGTCACTTAATTTCACTAGGTCTTACTTTCTTCATCTGTAAAATGAGAGGACTGGATTTGATGACCTATGAGATTCCCTCCAAGCCTAGACCCTATGTGTAAATCTTAGGAGCCTTTGATCCTATAAAAAAATTCACACAATCTCAGAGTTGGAAGGAGCCTCAAAGGTTATCTTGTCCAACTCATTACTGAATAAGAATACCTTCTCCAATATTCTTAATTGGCCTTCCAATATCTCCCTTCAAGGCCCACTGCAAAGGAGACCCCACTACCTCAAAGAACATTACTTACTTTTTAGAAAACTCTGACCATTAGAAAGTCCTTCCTCATGGACTTCCTTTAAAGTCTATATTTCATTCTGTTTTGGGGGCTGGATCTAGGAGAAATAATTAAGTCCAAACCCTCATTTGTCAGGTGAGGAAACTAAGGTTCAGAGAACAGTGACTTGCCCAGGATTATACTCATTTAGTACTTTGAACTTAGCAGTAGAGCTGGTTCTGGAATCCAGTGCTGCATTCTGGTGAGTTGGAGTTTGTTATGCTGTGACTTCCACCCATTGATCCTAGCTGTGCCCCTTGACCAATTCTGTCAACATTTATTAAGCTTCTACTATGTGAGGGTCAACCAATAAGTGAAGGCATCTTGTACCTAGATCTAGAAAGCCCTTAAGAAATGTTTGTTGAATTGAATGTCCCTGTGCTAAGTGCCAGGGATACAAAGGCAAAAATAAAACCATTTCTGTCTTCAATGTATTTTGTTCTCCTGGGGGCATGGAATATAACGTGTCATAGAAAAATAAATACAACATAATTTGAGGAGGAAGAAGTGAGAATTAACAACTTAGGGCAAAGGTGATCAGGAAAGGGTTTATGGAAGCAGTCTTACCTGATCTGAGCCTTGAAGGAAGATAAAGGTTCTTAGAAACAGAGATGAGCAGAAATGGTATCAGGTGTGGGGAACAGCTTGTGCAAATGCTCAGAGATGGGACAAGTAAAGCTAAGTTCAAAGAATAGCTAAAAGTGAAGTGTGGCTGAAACAAAGAGTGCATGAAAGGACTAATAGGAAATTAGACTCAAAAGGCAATTTGGAGTCAGATTGTGGAAGCCCTTGAATGCTAGGCCAGTGAGTTTGTATTTTATCCTGGAGGACATGGAAAGCCATTGAAGATTTTTGAGCATCAATCCTTCCTGCCATGTTACTCTTATTGAACAGATCTTTCTTCTCTAAACTAAACCCTCCTAGTTCTTTCAGCTGAACCTATGATGATATAGTCTGTGGTCCCCCTCACCATCCTGGCACATATCTCCTGAATGCACCTCAGTTTGTCTATGTCCTTCATAAAATGTGTCAATAATGAGATTGGTGAGGGGAACAGTATGTGAAAGAGTACTAACCTGGGAGCCAGGAGCCCAGGGGCTCTGTGCCAACTCTACTACCGAGTACTAATTAAGTAATCCTGGGCAAGTCACTTCTCTCTGAATGTGTTTCCTCACCTGACAAATGAGGGTTTGGACTTAATTATCTCTCTTCAGTCCAGTCCTTGAAACAAACCAAATGAAAACAAACAATGATTGTAAATTCTGCTTTACGTAGTGTTGAATTCTCTCTGTTCCAGGTACTTATGTGATGACAGTGACAGCCAATGATGCTGATGACAGTACCACTGCCAATGGTATGGTGAGGTACCGCATTGTGACTCAGACACCTCAGAGCCCATCCCAGAATATGTTTACAATTAACAGTGAAACGGGAGATATTGTCACTGTAGCAGCTGGACTGGACCGAGAGGTAAGATGAAGTGGGTGGGTTGATATCTCTGGTGATAATGGCCCCCATTTGACAACATTAATCTACTTTTTGAAGAGAATTGCAAGATGTTCCCAGCACGAGAGAAAATCTGATTTTCATCTGCATTTGTGTGTTCCTATTCAGCAGTACAGTCTACTTTACAGCTTCCAAAAATCCATGTTGTGCTATTTAGACTTTGCAATTTTGAAATAATCAGGAAAATTGGCCCTAGGATGTTTGTTCTCATGCCTCTGAGTCCAAGTGTAATGTCATGAGGAGAGCCTCATGTGTAGTGGATTCACCACCCAGCACGTTAATGGACTCCCCTGCAGTTGCCTATCTATTTGTCATTTTCCATCTGCTCATCAGTAAGAAGAGCCACAACACTACGATTTGTACATCCTAAATGGGATCCTGCCCCTAAGAAGCCCTCTCCCCTTTGCCTTTCCAGACCACAGACACCCCAGTCCCTGTATGGCTCTGTCTCTGGGGCCTTTGGTACACTACCACTGCCTTTCTGAACATGAGCTCCTGTTGCTGCCAAATTGAGGCTCTCTGGGGCTGAATGCAAACTCTTCCTCAGAAGTGGAAGACCTCAAAACATGATATTCTTCCTGGGCAGTACACTTTATGCTTCTCCAATTGCCTTCACAATGATTATCTCCTACAATCCTCATAGCACCCCTACTGGTATGGTACAATAATAATTATACAATAGTGTCCTGAACGGAGACACTATGGTGTAGTAGATAGAATTCTGGGTTGGGAAACAGGAGGATTAAGGTTCAAAATTGACCTTTAACACTGAAGAAGTGTGTGACCTTGCTGAGGCTCAGACAACTTCATAAGACTTAGGTACTACATTGAAGAGAGGTTGGAATTGTGTTTATGTTATAAGTTCTCATACTGGACTTTCCTATGCTGATACAATCATAGGTCTTTAGTATATTGGTATCTGAGTGACTATGGGACAGCTAGATGGCACCATAGTGCATGGAGCACTGGGGCTGGAGTCAGGAAGACCTGAGTTCAAATCCAGCCTCAGAAACACACTAGCTGTTTGACCCTGGGCAAGTCACTTAATCCCTGGTTACCTCCATTTCTTCATCTATAAAATGGGGATAAAAATAGCACCTACCTCCCAGGGTTGTTATAAGAATGAAATGAGGTAATAATTATAAAATGCTTAACATAGTACCTGGCACATAACATTATATAAATGTTAGCTATTATTAACATTGAGGAAGGTAGGTGGATAGAGATCTGGGCCTGGAGTCAGACTCATCTTCAAGAGTTCAAATCTGGCCTCAGGCACTAGCTACATGACCCTGGACAAGTCATTTAACCCTATTTGCCTCAGTTTCCTCTTTGTGAAATAAGCTGAAGGAAATGGCAAAACACTCCAGGATCTGCCAAAAAAAAAAAAAAACTCAAATGGGGTCACAAAGAGTCAGACATGACTGAAAATGGACTGAACAAATTATTACAGTTATTACTAAAGAAAAGTATTTATAAGTGTCAATGAATAATATCATAGATTTTCATCAGGTTTTTAAAGAAGCTATATTAGCTTATTTCTCTAGTGGTAATAGTTTACAGTGATTCATTTTTAAACTTTAATTCATTTTTTTAGAGCCAGCCTCCTGAAATGATACTTCTTTTAAAGCAAAAAATATTTCTTTACATTGAAAAAAAACATTGGTTAAAGGTCATACTCAGATTTCATGCAACTCAGGTTCAGAAAATAAATGTCCCTTATCCAGAAACATAAAGTAATTGCTCACATCTCTATAGCCCAGGAATGGAGAACCTGCGGCCTCGAGGCCACATGTGGCCCTCTAGGTCCTCAAGTACAACCCTTTGACTGAATCCAAATCCATTGGGATTTGTTCTGTGAAGTTTGGATTCAGTCAAAGGGCCACACTTGAGGACCTTGAGGGCCAAGATCGCAGGTTCCCTATCCGTGCTGTAGCCCTTTACAATTGACAAAGCTCTTTTGTGGTGATAACTTTGCATGGGAAGTAGTGGAATTGTTGTCTCCATCAGACACTTACTAGTTGTGTGACTCTGGGCAAATCACTTAACTTATGTTTGACTCAGTTTCTTCATCCATAAAATGAGTATAATAGTATCACCTACTTCCCAAGGTGACTGTGAGGATAAAATGAGATAAGAATTGTAAAGCACTTAGCACATTGCTTGGTACATGGTAAGTACCAGGTGAATGTTAGCTATCATCATCATCATTATCATCATCATCATCACTATTATCTCTCAGATGAGGAATCTAAGGCTAAGCGAGACTAAATGCTTAGTAGAGCCAAGGCTAGAACCCAGAACTCTCCTGAGTTTTAGGCCATTGCATTTTCTGTTACACCCAGCTGATCATGAACATCCACTGATTTCCAGCAAAGACTATGTGGCCAGAGAAATGCCAAACAGGTTTGAGAAGCATCTGTACCCTGAGAGGTGCCTAAAGGTAAGGATTATAAAGGCTAGAGAACCAGCTTTAGCCAGTAAGTCTTGGCCCTGAGGGCTCTGAGTACTTTGAATGCCTGAGATGGGGAGTCATATTTGTTTAAAAAAAAAAACTTGGCCCATTGTATCACCCTGAATTCCCAGCAATGCTCATCAACCAGACCCAGCAAACAGGATGTACTTGGTACATGCCAGCTTTTTTCCACCATGCATTCTAAACCATTAAAAGAAGAGCAGGATAAATAGTGACTTTCCCCCCATCATCCCTTGAGAAAGCATTTTCCCATATAGCATAAATGGCTATCTGGGCACCTTGCCACTTAGTTCCATCATGGGCAAATCAAACACTGTCAAACTTTACAGTTACAGAGGCTATGTTTATCTTGCACTTCTCTAGACTGACAGTATGTAGCAGCTCCTCTGTCACTGTCCACAGCAGGGGCTGAGTTCACCCAGGAGCTCCCAGAGAGACCAACAGTGCCCCTCTGCCAGCTTCACTTCCCAGCACACAGTCTGACAGGCATGTTTGCTCTGTAACCAGAGAGGCCCGACAATGATTGTGAAAAATAATTTACCCTAGATAAATAATTTGACACTCAGAACCTTGTGGAAATGCTGGTTACACATCAGAACAAACACTGTGGTTTTTGACTGGCTGGCTGTTTGTTGGCTGATGCTGAAACAGCTGTTTCCCAGTGGCAAACTCTCGTTTTTACCCCCTGAGTTTTCTTTGGGTTTAGTGCATCTGCAGATGCCGCTGGAGAATGATCCTCTAGGGGTGTAATGGGAGAGAGAGGGAGAGCAGAACAATAAATTGAGAGCTCCACAGTGGATGGGCAACAACATATGGTTTTTTAAGATGTTGTTTTCTCATGATGAGTCTAACAGAACAATGAAGTGCTGCCTTCCATGTTCCCTGGTACTCACATCTGGTGAGGTTCTGTTCCTAGAATTGTTCAGTCCTAAAGAATACAGCCGAGTATCTACTAACTGGGACGACAGGTTCCTGAAGCCTTCTACCTGTAGTCAAGTCAGTTAGTTTCCATCATTTTGTTCATTTTATGGAAATAAATTCCAAATTATAAAGTTTTTAAAAATCCCATCTCGTACCTGCCACTTTCCCCAGCATTTCCAAACATCACAGTATGGTCAGCTTTTGTTTCATCTCACTGAAAGATGTGAAAGAAGAAGCCAATGTATATTTCTATTTGACCTTGGAATGTGTGATTTATTTACCTCTCAGTTCTATTTATCTCAGACTGATATTAAAATAAGTTTGCAGTCCCCAAATAAAAGTCTTGCCACCTAGATTTTACAAGTTCCCATCCTGCACATCCTCAATCCTGGATCACTATCCATCTTCCCTCTCTATTCCTACTCCCAAGCCACTGAACATTGCTGGAAGAAGTCACAAAATCATGTCAATTGGTTCTACTCCAATTGTTATCTAACAAAGTGTTATCTAACTTCAACTGGGCTATTATGGCTGCACCACAATCCTTTCATTCATTTCTGATTGACCCTCCGTCACTTTTCCCACGGTCTCTTCCAAACCTTCTCCTGCCTCCTCAAGCTCTCAAATCTGACCCTACTCACTTCGTAATCGATGCCCTGGCTTCCTACTTCACTGAGATCAAGGCCATCCATCCTGGGCTCCTTCTACCTGCCTCCTCCATATCTCAAAATCTCTACATCTTCATCTATTCCCTTCAGCTTTGTTCTAGCCCCAGAGGAGGAGATGCCCCTTCTCTTTGCAAAAAATAATCCCTGTAGCTGTTACTTTGATTCCATCCCTCCCCTGTCTTTCAGGAACATTCCTCATCAATCATTCTTTCTCTCTTTTATCTTCACTCTTTCCCTATCTAGTGTCTCCTTTCCTACTGCCTAAAAATATATTCATCTCTCTTATCCTTAAAAAATCTTCCCTTGACACTGCCATCCACTTAAGATATCAGCCTATATTGCTTCTCCTTTTCACAGAATCACAGAATTTCAGAGTAGAAAGGGACCTTAGCGGCCATCTACTCTAACCCAAAGCCAAAAAAAGAATCCCCACTACAACTTATCTGACAAATGGTCATCCAGCCTTTGCTTGAAGACCTCCACTGAGCAGGAATACACTCCCAGGAGGGAGCCCATTCTACTTTTGGACAGTTCTAATTATTAAAAAGTTTTCCCCTGTTGTCAAACCTAGATTTGTTTGGTTTTATTTATTTATTTTTTTTTTGCAATTTTCAACTATTTCTCCTAGTTTGGCCCTCTGGGGCCAAACAGAATAAATCTAATCCTTCTTCCACTTCATGGCCTTTCAAATGCTCAAAGACAGTTACATTGTGTCCCAAAAGCCTTCTCTTTTCTAGGCTAAATGTTCCCAGTTTCTTCAACTTTTGTTATTTAACTCCTAGAAACTCCTTATATTCACTACCAAATTTCTCCTAAATTCTTTATAATTCAGCTTACCTTCCCACCTCTCTACTGAAACTGTTCTGACAAAAGTCACTAATGGTTTCTTATTGTGCAAT